GGTGTTAACATCCTGGCATTAGAAGGAGCTGAGAAAGATAAAGTGGTGGTGATTGGAGATGGAGTTGATGCTGTTAAATTGGAACAGTGAGGAAGAAGGTTGGGCATACGGAAATTAGAGTGTTGCAGAGTCAAGTCTAATTATACGTCTTACCGACCCACCTACCCTACAAATTCACATTATCTTTCTCTGCCTATACTTACTATTGTTCTCCGGGAGCACCTGTAATGTAGTTTAGTTTTGTATTTCCAGAGAGATTATTAGTTTTATAAAGAATCTAAATCCCACTGATCATGGCTGGTTACTATAAAGCTTCTCGAACTTCTCCATGTCAATCTTCAGTGGACCTGCAATTGCAGGGTAAACGATATCTAAAGCGATGAGGCAAACAGGCAATAGCCTCGCTAATGAATTCAAATTCACTGATAAGAGTTTTTTTAGGAGAGATCCAAAGTCAAGAAAATTTTATACAATGAAGAGGCTAGATGCTACGGTTCTAATCAATACAAGATTTTCTTATTGCCATTAACCTTTGCAAATTCATTCTCTGTGAAAATTAATTAACTTTTTACTATGTGATGAATTGATTGTATGTTGAGAAAAAGAAAATGGAACCAGCGAATTGTAGCAACAACAGTAGCGGTGTTTGCTTTCCCGGCCCAGACCGAACCAAAAAATGGATACGTAAACATAAAAGGGCCAAAGAGTGCAGGGCCTGTTTGGCGCAAATGGTCAGATTTTGCGTCTCTTTCAGTTTCAACACTTTCCCACCGCATTGTCAAACGTCAATCAAATCCTAATTTTCCAAATCGCGTATCAGTGTATCGCATCATCGCATCATAAAATACATTTTTTTTTTAAAATTAATAAAATAATAATTTAAAAAAAATAATATCACTCATAAATAATTAACAAATTTTGTGGTATTATGGACTTTAAACTATGATATTACATAATTAAAATTAATCACAAAATTAAGAATCTATATCATTTTCTCTCAATATTCATATCATTCTAATATCAATGTGAATATCTATAACTCTACTTATATTATTATTATCATACAAAATAGGTTATACTATTTCTTTCATTTTCTTAGCAAAATAGATAAATTTAGGTAAGTTTTAGTGAATCGGGGTGGGTGATTGGGATTTGACTTAAAATTTTGTTGGACTTTTAACCGAAATTAATAAAGTGTATCGATTATATTATATTTTTAAGGATACAAGAATATATATCGTATTGGATAATATATATCAATATATTAAAAGATTTATGATACACTTTTGACGATCCAATCCGTATCGAATCGTATCTTAAGATATGTATCATGTATAGTAGGTGCTAACAAGTAACAAACATGTTTCCCACATGCATCATTCCACGTTTTTCTCTCCTTCCTCCACGTCCACGCACACAAGCAGAACATCTGGGTTCTCTATCTTAGCTCATTTACAAGCGAATTAAAACCCCTTATGTCACCTTCCTTGCTTGTTTCACTGTAAAAACCATGGCGCTTTCACTCCCGGAAGCCACAATCTCTCCACTCATCAACAACCCAGTAATTATCGTTCTTCTATAAACCTTCGAAACTCTCTCACCTAGTGATTACGTTTCTAACCCCAACACTTACACAAACCCACTGATCAAATAGTTTTTTCACCCTCAGATGGTTTTACATAACACATACCGACATCATTCTGCGTAAGATAGCCTCCATGATTCTTTACTAATTTAAAACTTGATAAGTTTGATATTAAATGCAACCAATTTTAACTTCCCATTAATCCATTAAATTATTTAAATTAAAAACTAAAATTTTGTCTCACAAGTCTATATAAAATATTAGTATTACAATAGTCTAATTATTATTTTATACCTATAATATATGACAGTTTTTTTTTCATAATAAATTATTATTTTAATTTCATTAATCCAATCTAATTTATTAGATAGTATGGAAATAATTTAAAATATGAAATGTGTTTTGACTTTAAAATGTAAAGGTGTCAGGTGTGGGGGAATGGGCGGGAAAGTGGATGTCTTTGAGGGGGTTATTTTTTATTCCCCCCTTTTCCAATCTCTTCTCTTATGCCTTACCACTGACTTCTTCTTCCCCACTAAAACGACTCGTTTCAATTATTTTTTTTCTTTTTTTTTTTTCAAAAATTCGCAAATAATTCATGAATTATTCGCGAATTATACGGAAACTCTAATAATTCGCGAATAATTCGGCAGTCCTTTATAAAATATGTAAATACGTGTTTTATACGCGTATTTACTAACCAGGCTCGATTGTCAACGATTGGCCAAGTTGGTAATAGTAGGTTTTGAGGGGTTTTGGTGAGTGGTGACCGGGAAAAAGAACAGTAGTAGTATGGGGTCGCCACGATACCGAAATCTGAAATAAAATATAACTTTAGATAGTAAAATGATATTTTAAAGTCCATGAGTGAGAAAGTATCATTAAACTATTATTTGGGGAGGAAAAAGTCGTTTACTCGTATAATTAACCACAAACATGAGTAGAGTTGGAAAAGTAACCCGTTCGGCCCGACCCGACCCAGCCCGCAACGGGTTACTTCTTTTGGCGGGTTGGTCTTAACCCGCCCGCCAACAAAGGCAGGCCAGGTTAGGCCCGCCATTTTTGGGGGAATGGCTGGCCCAACCCGACTAGCCAACCCTAACCCACTAGGTTAGGCTGCGGGTCGGGCTGAGTTAACCCCTTTTTTGATTTTGATTTTTTTTATTTTTGATTTTGTTTTATTTACTTAACTTTTCAAATAAATAATTAACGATTTATAAATGAATAAATGTAGTTGTTTTTAATTAACTTTTCAAATATCAATAATTCAATTAAATTAATTTTTTTTATTAACATTTCAAATAATAATTCAATTTTAATACAATAAAATTGTAATATAATAAAAATTAGATTTATTCATTCAAGTGATGAAATTTTAGCATAAGAATGAATTATATTTTATACAAGACATGGAAATTTAAGAATAAGACTTCAATATATTTTTTTTTTTATATTTTACGTACCATAAAAAATAATAATAACAATGTGTCAAATATTACGAAGTTTTATACATTTTAATATTTATGATTTAAAAGTATAGTTTAATATTATTGTGTAAAATTATTTGTAAGAGTTCAATCATAATAGTTTAATTAAAAGAATTAAAAAATGGGGGAAACTTGAAAAAAAAGATTAATTTTTTTTTTTAAAATTTGTTTTGGGCCAACCCGCTGGGTTGGCTATTGTAAACAAATAGCAATCACTAGGTTGACGGGTTGCCATATAGTAATCCGACCCATCCAAGGGTTGCATGCGGATTGGGTTCAACCGATGAACCCTCTCTAATGCGGGTCGGCCCATTTGTTTCACCTCTAAATAGGAGGGAGCTGCTTAACCCAAGGAAAGGACAACTGTAAAGTGCTTCAAAGAAGACACCATCTTGCAAAATGTGGTGTATATGGATATATGATTGGTGAGAAACAAGCTATTCGGGAAAAGCCAGTCACTGCCAATAAAATTTTACTAGTGATTGGCAGCTGAAGCAATATTACATGTCCTCTGATGAAGTACAATGGAGGCAGCAGGCAGTGAATGTGAATGAAAGATGAAACATCCTGGAGCTAGAGCTATTCCGGCCTTACACAAGGCTTAACACCACTATGTAATTGATGTTTTGTATTGAAATGTCTCACCATACCTTCTCCTATATATTGTTCTAGCTCACATTTGAGATAAATGTGCAGAAACAACAGCAAAGAAACATTCATTTTTCCAGAATTCTCCTTCTGAACCAAGTAAGTAAAGATGGAAAAATTGATTGGAGTGGAGACTGGTCAAAGTGATATGCGTTTAATTAATTGTTTGGTCATTGTAAGTGGACCCCCAATGGACCAGTGCCAGGTTTGAAAATTTTGCAGAAAAGACACCATTAAAGTTTTAAATCTGGGGAACTGTGTGTCCAATCAATCGTATGCTAGATTTTTCTTTTCTTTTCTGCCCCACGTTGATCAACTCTTCTTCTTGTTTAATATACATACGCATAGCAAAAGCATAGAATTCAAATCATAATTTTATTCGGATTTCTTTTTCATAAATACAGAAGCGGCTATCACCTGTACCCCTGGTGATCCAGCCATTTACAATCATTATATGTCACCAGTACCCTCAGTGGCCCGGCCCCGGATAGTCATTTTATTACACTTTGCCTTTAACCCGAGTAACTCTCTTATTTCACAATAATAAGAAATGTATAGAATATGCCAAATTTCAATCTTATTTAACAAAAATCAAACAGAAGAAAGGACAATACAAAAAATGATCAGTTTGAGTTGCTTATCCAATATGCTTCAACAATAGATACATAATGCAGCTAATTGAGATGGAAATAAATGAACTTGTTTGGAATGATGATCAAATATATGTATGGAAGCAATGGCATCTTAAGTAAATGGTTGGATTTAATTTAAAAGAGAAGGAAGCCAACGCCAATGCAACCCAACCCATCTGCACAAACGTACAGCTAATGTTGGCCTTGTCTTATTCCATGGTTTTGGCTCCGTCTAGAAACCATCAAAACCTCTTTAACCCTTCTGCCCTTTACTATTATTTTTTTCAAAGAATAAAATACAAGAATCGATTTACACTACAAAACCACACAATCACTCAAAGATATTGATTTAACAACACAACACAAAAAAGCAAAAATATAATAGAGTGGGGGGTCACACCCCTTTATCAAGGAAAGAAAATCCAAATAAGGCTACCTGTAAAACCCAGGCAGTTTTGGCTCTATCTATGGAACTATTTGTTAGCAACAGGTCTTGGTTGCCGCCTTCTCCACGACCTGTCACTCTCCTTTCTATGGACTTTCTTTTGTTTTTGGCTTCTAATATTAATTTACTTCTTCTTCAATTCTTAATTCATATATCCATCCTTCTACTTCTCTTTCCTTCCTATAATTATAAGTCGCACTGCAGCTGGGAGTATCGCACAAAATAGACGCTCTGCACTCACTGTTTTTCGGTTTTTCATCTTATCTTATCCGATATATACCTGTAAGTCTCTGAATTCCATTCGATGAATAGTTTTAGTTTACTTGAATTACTAACTAAATGCCCGTTAGCTACCTGAAGCTTACTGATTATGTAGCTGATTAAGTAGTTAATAACACGGGTAAGTAATCATGTTTTCTTTGACATGGCAGACGGATTATTCCTTTTTCTGACTTTTGGAGGTTCTATTCTACTGTTGTAGTAAAAAGAGAAAAGCAGTGTGATACGTGTTTTAATTGCTTTGGTGCACACAGTTGGTTTATTTGAATGAATTTAATATGCAGATTGAGGAGGGTTAAGAGTTGAAAGCAACGTTGAGTTAGTGGGTGGGAATGTTTGTTTCTGCCTGGCTCCCTGAATGCCATATAAGAAGTTTGTCAAAGAGTGTTGGCAATCTTCCTACTTGGCGTGAAGGGAGTCATGCAGGCCTTGTCAATCTTTCTACTCTATTCTCAGCCCCGGGGTGCCCTCATCGAATCTCATCTAAATCATCATCAGTAAACTACATCTATATATAGATTAATTGCTGTTCTGTTTTATGCAAATGCCTAATTAACTAAAACAAAAGGTATATATTGTTGACTCTCTTTTCTTTAATCATGTACAGCGGTCTTCCTTCAGGGAATCGGAAAACAACTAATCATAACCTTTTGTTGAGGCATATGTTTTTGAGAAGTCTTATGATATATGCCATATGGTACATCTATCAGTCAACTGCATGCAGTGACTTCAATCTGTGCATTTCTGTTTCAAGATAATTATTTCTCATTATATTATTGATTAATCTCAGCATATTTCCTTTCTCATATATTTAGGAATGCAAGTGCAGAAGCAAGCTGATGATCATTGGTATGTTTATATTTACCAATAATACTAACCTTATTAATCCCTCTCACTAACCCCTCTCACTAATCTCATGTGGGAGTTTGTCATTATCTTGGTTAGGTTCGACCTATTATTAGACAGACGGGTCCTATGTAAATTGATGAATTGTGAGCGACATATGATGTTAGTGAGAAGTGTTAGTGAGTGTAGTGTTACTCTTATATTTACAATGAATGACGTATAGTTTTAACATAGAAACCAGTAGAGATATTATATTAATATATTGGTGTCAAAGTCTTATATTGGTTAAAAGATGAAAGTTTTGATCGTTTATATAATCCAATGACATCTTCATTACCCAGAGAGTTTTGATTGTTTATTTAGCATAACGACATTCTCACCACCCAAATATACATTTTTAAGACAAAATTGTGAATATCTTTTAAAACTCACCTAGAATGTGTCCCCGGGGCATAGGACTCCCAAGCCCTTCGAGCCCTGGACATTGGTTAAGAGACTCAGGAACTTTTTTTTTCAGGATAAAATTATGCAAGTCCCAAGACTGGACAATGCCTCTAAAAACCAACCATTTGTCCTAGAGGTAGACACATCTTCTTAAGAAGGGTTTTGTCACTACTTGTGAGACATGTGGCTATGAAAGGGATCATTTAGTGTTGGTGGGGGCACTGGTGGATCCAGAAATTTCACTCGATGGGGGTAAAAAATAAACAAAAAAAATTTGTGGGGGCAAAATGTCAAAGTCTTATAAGGTTTTTAAAATGACGAATCTAAAAATATCTATGGGTTCGTGTTGGTTTTTATTTTGGATAGGATTTTGAGAATACTATTGGGTAATTGGATGGGAGTAGTATTACGAGGTAAATTAAAAATTATGAAAAAGCCATAGGTTGCTAATTTTAACTAATACCCTAATATATAAAATGACAAAAACACCCCTACCACCTACAATGCCAGATTCTGGCCACTACCATCGGAATCTGGCCAGAAATAGTGTTACGCACAGACCAGTCGGATGTGTTCGTAACACATCGTTATGGCCTTTTTCGGCCAGATCATCAGATCTACGGCCTGTTGTGGCCGCGGACAGCCAGAAAAGGCCAAAACCGACCATCTTTGGCCGTCGTTGACTCAACGACAGCAATTTCTTGGTCGTCGTTTGCGGCCAGATCAGTGGGATTTCAGCCATTTCTAGTGGCAGGTAGGCTATTGTACGATTCCGGTACCACCGACGGTGGTTGCGGAATATGGCAAGTAGGGTCGTGGGGGTGTTTTTGATAATTTAAACTTTTTTTTCAGGGTGTATTTGATGAAATTAATAACTTATGGAGTCTAAAAATAATTAAAAAAATAGGTAATATTCTGAAAATAATATGCCAAATATTATTTAGAGAATAAGATTGAGAATATGGATTAAAATAATAAGCCAAACATGCCCTATACAATCGGTAAGTTTTTTAAAGTTTGAGTGGGGGCCATGTCCCACTCGTCATTAAAATCCGCCACTGGGTGGGGGGTGGGTAGCTTATGTGTTGAATCAAATCAGTGATAGGATGTGATCCACCCTAGCTATCATAATTACCACCAAAGAAGTCGTTTTTTTTTTATTGTATTAACCCATGGATACAAAACATAAGCTTGTCGTCACCACCTATGCAATATGCTTAATTACTTTCAGTTTCAGCTTTGGATTATTCTTCTCCAAGGATTTCTTATTAGTTTACCTTCTTCCAGCTGACTGAAATTGACTTTGCCATACACATGCTTTGGCTTATATATACGATCCAGGAAGTCGTTAAAGAATGGGTTTCAGTTGGTAACCAAAAAAGAATGGGATTCAGTTGAAAATCATTCTATGTATTTACTGCCGTTTGAAACTATATTAATTAATTACTGTTGTTAAATCGACTGTTGAAAACTCGGCGATTGACCAAGACTTGAGAGTCTTTTTTTTTTAATTTCTAATAACCAAGAGGAGAACAGCTAGCCATTTTGAAGCACACATTGTAAAAGATGGTTTCGTGTCTCATTAAGCATTCACCTGATATTGACGCGGGTTACTAGAAATGTTCTAGGAAACAGCTGATGTGAATATCCATGCAGAAAAATAACACAAAGTTCTAAGATTCACCGCAACCATTTAATTTGAGTTACTCTGAGTATATAAGCGGGGTTGGTGTATCCGCACTCAAAACATTAGCGTTTTCCAAGTAAGAATAGTTCCTCGTTCTATATTCTTATTCCCCAATCAACAAACGAATATTCAACTTCAAGAGGAATAATTAAGGAAACAATATGAAGGTACGTGTATCTAAACTTGTAATTTGTCTTGGCTTATTGCATAATATTCTAGTAAGCATATACTGTATAAAAAATAATTATATATGGTTTGTGGTGGTTTCAGCAAAAGATTGTGATGAAGGTACAGATGAATTGCCCGAAATGTCGGCTCAGGCACTCCAGGTCGCTGCAGACGCAGACGGTAATTAATGTTTCATGACAGTAATTGGTAATAATTTTAGATAAAATTATATAAGATTAATGGTAATGCATGCAGGTGTAACTCTGGCATTAGAAGGAGCTGAGAAAGATAAAGGGTGGTGGTGGAGATGGAGTTGATGCTGTTAATTGGCTAACAGCTTGAGGAAGAAGGTTGGGCATACGGAAACTTATGAGTGTTGCAGAGAAGTCATAATTAATTACGAGTCTTACAGACCCACCTACCCTACAAATTACATTTATCTTTCTCTGCCTACTACTACTATTGTTCTCCGGGAGCACCGTAATGTAGTTTAGTTTTTGTATTTCCAGAGAGATTATTAGTTTATAAAGAATCTAAATCCACTGATCATGGCTTGGTTTTAAAGCTTCTCTGAAACTTCTCCATGTTCAATCTTCAGTGGACCTGCAATTGCAGGGTAAACGATTATCTAAAGCGATGAGGAAACAGGCAATAGCCTCGCTAATGAATTCAAATTCACTGATAAGAGTTTTATTTAGATTGAAGAGATCCAAAGTCAAGAAAATTTATTACAATGAAGAGGCTAGATGCTACGGTTCTAATCAATACAGATTTCTTTTGCCATTAACCTTTTCAAATTCATTCTCTGTGAAAAATAATTAACTTTTTACTATGTGAATGATTGTATGTTGAGAAAAAGAAAATGGAACCAGCGAATTGTAGCAACAACAGTAGCGGTGTTTGCTTTCCCGGCCCAGACCGAACCTAAAATGGATTACGTAAACATAAAAGGGCCAAGAGATTGCAGGGCCTGTTTGGCGGACAAATGGTCAGATTTGCGTCTCTTTTCGTTTCAACACTTTCCCACCGTCATTGTCAAACCGTCAATCAAAATCCTAATTTTCCAAATCGCGTTCAGTGTATCGCATCATCGCATCATAAAATACATTTTTTTTTTTAAATTATATAAATATAATTTAAAAAAATAATATCATCTCATAAATAATTAACAAATTTGTGGTATTATTGACTTTAAACTAGATATTACATATTAAAATTAATCACAAAATTAAGAATCTTATCATTTTCTCTCAATCTCTATCATTTCTAATATCAATGTGAATTCTAACTCTACTTATTAATTTTATCATACACAAATAGGTATACATATTTCTTTCATTTTCTCTATGCAAAATAGATAAATTAGGTAAGTTTTAGTGAATCGGGTGGGTGATTGGAGTTGACTTAAAATTTTGTTTGGACTTTTAACCGAATAATAAAGTTGTATCGATTTATTTATTTTAAGGTACAAATGAATATATATCGTATTGGATAATATATCAATATATTAAAGATTTATGATACACTTTTTGACGATCCATCCGTATCGAATGTATCTTAAGATATGTATCATGTATAGTAGGATGCTAACAAGTAACAAACATGTTTCCCACATGCATCATTCCACGTTTTCCCTCTCCTTCCTCCACGTCCAACGCACACAAGCAGAACCATCTGGGTTCCTATCTTCAGCTTCATTTACAAGCGAATTAAAACCTATGTCACCTTCCTTGCTTGTTTCACTGTAAAAACCATGGCTCTTCACTCGGAAGCCACCAATCTCAACCACTCACAAAACCCAGTAATTTATCGTTCTCTTCTATAAACCTTCGAAACATCTCTCACCTAGCTGATTACGTTTCTAACCAACACTACACAAACCCACTTGATCAAAATAGTTCTTTCACCTTCAGATGGTTTTTACATAACACATACCGACATCATTCTGCGTCAGATAGCCTATGACTCTCTGGGACATTCTCTCCTCCTCTCCTCCGTGGCTTATCTTAGATGGTCCACGTAAGCAGATTTCTATGACCCCAAAACTACCCGGGCTGCCATTGTTACATGCGGTGGACTGTGTCCTGGGATGAACACTGTGATTAGGGAGCTAGTGGTGGGGTTGTGGGAGCTGTATGGTGTGAGACAAATTTATGGGATTCAAGCTGGGTACAGAGGATTTTATTCCAGGGAGCCTGTGGAGTTGAGTCCTAAGATGGTGCAAATGGCATAAGAGAGGTGGCACTGTGCTCGGACCTCTAGGGGTGGTTTTGATCTCAAAAAGATTGTTGAGTGCTATTCAACACCATGGATTTAATCAGGTCGATTACTTTACTTTCTGCTTAATGTGTTTTACTTTGTTTTATATCAGTATGTCCTTTTACTTTTTTTCTTTTCTTTTCTGACTAAAAAAAGTTGAAAACTATTAGAACAATTGGAAAGAACCGTTCCAATTATAAGGCAAAGCATGGAACTGCTTTGCTATTTGCTAGTTACACTGCCTTTAACTTATTCTTGTTGAAATTGCGCTAATCTTCCCTTTTCTTTTTGAAACGCAGTAGTTAATGTTGTCTTGGTTTTTTCATATTCTTGGAGGTTTTATTTCATATTTGATATGCAAGATGACATCCCTTTGCCCTTTGATAAGATTAATTAGCAATAAGTTTATATATGTCGTCCCATATGCACTTGAACATTGTAAATTAGTTTGATTTTCTTTATCACCTCTGCTTCTCTGAACATGATCAAGTCATTGATTCAATATATCACTAGATTTGGGACTTGCTGCAACTGTTCAATAAATTACAAATCACAACCGTTTGCGTTAAGCAGCCAAACAACTTGAATAAAATTTATCTTGATGACAAAAATTAAATGTA